TAAATTCTACGTTAAGTCTTCAACTGGAAAACAGAAATAAGTTCCCCTCACAATAAGTGCTCCTCTACTGGGAATTTGCTCCACCGGAACTTAAATTTCAATTCCATATTACGTCTTCGAGAAAAAGGCAATAACTCCCATTGTATCACAATAGAAGACCTTTATACACTTAACGTAGAACCGAATTAAACTTAAGCCAGGACTAAAATTTCAACGTCGGGAACGTTTGCTCTTAATTCTGAGAGGCATAATTCCCATTGTCGCTTCGAGCGACTCTTCGCTCGTTCCGCGTGGGAGATTCCACCGGCGAAAATCGAGAGATATCGTTAGCTCGGAGCAATCGGTGCTGCCGATGAGAAAAACCACGAAATATGCATATCGGGTTTTATTCGATGCGCGTCGAACGGAGAGGTCTCGATAATCCCGTAATTAAAATCAATCGCGTCCCTGAGTATCGCACGCGCGGAGATCGAGGGCGTATCTGTCGCGTCGGAATGGTAGCGCGCGGCAGGTGGGGGAGGGAGGAGTGTACAGGGGAAGAGGAGGAGAAGAGGAGCGCCGCGCGACGGAAAGCTAATTACAGAATTATCGCTTTTAATTGCGATTCCTGCTATTTGCGCAATGGCGTGGCGGTGCAGCGCGCGCGATTGTCGTCGCGTGCCGAATTATTGGATGTTGACGTCACCCGGTGCCGTCGCCGCCGAGCGGCCCGATGCGGCACCGCGCTTTGCTCTGTAATTGCCGGCACCAATTATGCAATTAGCGCCGCGCTCTAATGAGCGTAGTGTTATACGCGCGGAATCTAAACACCCGGCCACCCGACACCCGGCCAGCGCGCATTGTTCGCGCCGAGCCGCGCGCTCTCCGCTCGTTCGTTCGTTCGTGTGTATGTGTGTGTCTCCGTACGCCTCTCCGGAGTGCGCGATACGCCCCTATCCGGTTTAACTCTCATTAATTCATAACGCGTGTGTAGTTAGCGTCGGAACGCTAACTCGAGACGCTTTTCGTCGTTTAACGGACGGGGACTCGGCGCGGCCGGATCATTTCTGTGGTCTCAAGCCGCCGGTGCGTTTTCATCGCGATTTTTTCAACGGGTCTCCCGGATCGAAGCCAAGAGATTATGGAATGATGAAATCCCACCGAAAGGGCGAGTTGGTAAAAATTTCGACGTATTGTTCTCCGCACAACCTCGCTCGTTCTTCGTCCCGAATACTGTCGAGCTCTCGAAATTTCCTCGAGTGAAGCTCGAGAAACAAAGTGACAGCCGAGTCACTCGATTTCCTGGGAACTTTCGCTCGAATGAGACTTGATTCTATTTTTTAATGCCTTTTTCTCTGTATCGTCGAGTCGAGAAAGTTCAGTTTCGGATATTTCGAGTCAAGTTTGGCAACTTCGTTGCTCTTTCACTTTCACTTGGAGAAATTTAGAGAGTACTCTGCACTTCAACTTTTAACTCTGACAGTAATATGTTAGGTCTACTTTTTTTCATGATTTAGGCCTGAGAGACCTATGGTGTTACATCGGCGTTCAAAATCTCGCGGCTGTTACTTTCAAGGTTAACGTTGCTTCTCCTCTGAAGCATCGGATCGGAAAAGTTCGTCTCTCGATTGTTGTATCGAATTTGCCCTCGTCGCATTCGATCTCACTGTTGAAATATTCTCTTTCTTCCTTTTCCCTCTCGTGTGTCGACGTCACGTGTGCAAGGATCCCTCGGGTCAGTGACGGAATCTCGGAATGCGAAATCCCATCTAAATGGCAAAGTAGTAGCGAGAATCGCGGTGAAAACGTATTGTGTTCTGCGCGCGACCCCTCGATCTCTTCATCATGAATACCACTGTACTCTCTTTCTTTCTCCCCCTCCCTCCGTTACCCTCCTGTTTCTCTTTCTCTCTCTCTCTCTCTGTGCCGGCTTCGGTAAACCACGCGTACAACATGTAACGTGCGTGTAACAAATCCAACGATGGCGTGTGCCAACGTGTAAACATATTCTCCGCACTCGAAGCCACAATCCCTTCGCCCTCGCACGCAATGAGTGCGCGCGCGCGCACGGTGGGGCGTCGTCGGGATGATCGCACAATAAAACACTGGCATAATATTTCGCCCGGCTGGTTGAACACCGCAAATACACTCTAGGACCACATGCCGGCCCTATTTTGCCGAGGGTGAGAAGGGTAGGGGAGGGCGCCCAGCGACGGACGCACGCATACTCGCAAGGGTGGCATCGGAGAGCAGCCCCCACGGGAGCCCCCTCTCGAGTACCGCGGGGACACCCGCGGGCCCCGCGCCGTCCCCCTTCGCGGATTAGCCTCGCTACATTTCGTCCCTTCTGTCGTTGCGTATGTCCCGTCATTATGCGCCTAACTCTCTGCAAACGCAAAACCAATGGCCACCCACGACGGCCGAATTTACGACGACGACGGGGCGATGGGGGATGAACAGATCCCGATCGTCCGTGTTGCTCGTCTATCGAGTTATCGATCGCGACTTGATAAATTGGCCGCTGCTACACGGAAAGAAGGATTTGACGATTTAACAGGTAATTTGACGATTTCCGCATGATTTGGTCAGATAATTTCAACTGAATTATTTGGCCGTTGCAACGAAATTGATTACCACGTTTAGTACCACGTACGTATTGTATCTACAGGGTGTCTACGTAAGCCGTATTATTCATCGTATACTTGTACTTAATATTATATTGTGAACAGAAAAGTCTTCTACCATTTTACAAACAACCACGCAAAACTCCGAGTTATTAATTATTGAAAGTTTCCAAGGTCTGATATCTATACATAGAGGAGTCTGATGTAGAGGATTTTTATGTTCACATTAACCTAAATTACAAGTATATGACGAATAGCACGACTTGCGTTAGACATCCTGTAATATATATATGGTATATACAGGGAGGGCCGAAAGTCGATACAATCGAATATCTCGTAAATGATGTAATTTTGAAAAAAGTAGATAAAAGTTGTAGAGTTTAGAAAAACCTATTTATTGATCTTATCAATTTAATCTCGGATGAAAGCGTCAAAGTCATGTGAAGGTCAACTTCATTTTTTTTTTTATGGAATCATATAATTTTAATGTTGTTGACCAAATCTTGGTAATTGTTAGCAAATCCTTTTTCTAGTGTAATTTCCGTGACCGATCGTGCGACATCCGGTGAGTTAATCGACAGATATTTCAATTCCTTTCGTGCGCGTACGTGTGTTTTCTGATCTCTTCCAACAGTGGGCCAATAGTTTTCATATGAAAACAGAGATAAATATAAAAACGAAAAATCAGTATTAAATAAAAAGTCAAAAAGAAATAAAGATACAGATTGACGAGAGATCGGGGAAAAAGACCGGGAGATAAACGCGCGAAAATTCACACTCTCGATTTACTTTTATTAAGGGCGTGTATTTTTCTATGGGCCGGCTAGCGGCACAGGCAGCGCAACGCGATTTTGCGTTATGTCGGAAGTGAATTCCGCAAAAAGTGCGTTTAAGCGTACACGCGGTATGACGGAGGTGGGTGGAGAGGCCGAGAGCTGTTGTATAGCGTGCGTCTCGTCTTTTTCGCCGGAGGTCAGACGAAACGCGAATTGCTCGAATTTTGTTAAGTTTGGCAGCAATTACTTTTGATACCCGACACGCGGGCGTAATTGCGTTGGGCCAAGCAGAACGACGAGAGGGGTAATAATTCGCTAATATCAATTTCAAATTTCAATTAGTATCATCTCGACGTCCGCCTCTGCGCCTCTCTCTCTCTCTCTCACACTCTCGCTCGCTCGCTTCCTCTCTCCCTCTCTCTGTGTCCCTCTCTATCCGCGGACCCCACAGGAACACGCCATGATCTAAAATTCAATTTGTCCCTTCGTACCGGAGCCGCAAAGAGAGGAGGAGAGACATAGTGTAACACCGGCGGATAGACGGAGAGGGAGGCGAAGGGGAGACGTCGTGATGGAGCGAGCGAGATAAACAGCCACATAGAAACGTATAGAGATATAAGGGGGGAGGGTGAGAGATCGGGGGCGAGCAAAGAGAGGGAGAGAGAGAGAAAGAGAAGGGGGAACGAGCGAGAGAGCCGGGATACTCTGTATAGTTAGTGTACACCGGTTCTCTAAAGCCACTCGCGTGCACGCCGTTATATAACGAGAGAAACGACGGGCGGCGGGCCCCGTAGGCACGAGCATGCGCGACATGCCGACCCATTATAAATTGATAACTCCGCCGTTTATTAAGTTCCACGACCGATGCCTGCTTAGGCAAAGAGCCCTCTATGCGCCGCGTCGCTCGTTCTCTCTCTCTCTCTCTCTCTCTCTCTCACCCTGTGTCGGCTCCTCTCTCGCCGATACATACATTATTTATTTACGCGAGTTTACAATCCCTCTAATGGGGATTGGCGTAATCGGCCACCCATCCGCACCCCTCCGCGCCTCCCACCTCCCCTCGTAACCACCCGGGGCTGCAGCACGCCGCTGTCGCGCTCCCTCTTAATCACGTTTCACCCCGCTTTCGAAAATCCGCGCGTCGCCGTGAGCTCGACGAAATCGGAAGTGGCTTCGATGCTCTCTCTGCTTACCCGAAGGAGGGAGGGGGTGCATGAGGGAGCTGTCACGATACTACCCCGGGTATCGTTCGGTGGAAAAATTTCACCGGCCGATGGGACGACGGAGAGACGACGCGCAAGACGCGCGCGACACTTGAAAGTGTGTCTGATCTATCTTTCTGCCGTCCGCTCGACTCGAGACGAAATTTCGAGTTCACCGATAATTGTTCACGATCGCGCGATCGGAAAAGACGTCTTTTGCCCCAGCAGCGCGGCTGGAAATGCCGAATTTTTCATTTCCGCGGAAAACGAACGGCGTCCGCCGGTCGCGAAAAAAGCACTGATCGCGGCGATCCTTCTCTCTCTCTCTCTCTCTCTCTCTCTTTCTCATTCATTTTTTTTTCATTTTTCATCGCGGACAAGATCATAAAATCAAGCGTCGCACATGTGTGTGGTTGCAGATTGGCTCGGTCCACGCCCACCAGCCGAACAATAACAACCACCATCAACATCATCAGCAACAGCAGCAGCAACAGCAACAACAGCCGTCGAGTCAACCACAGGTGCCGACCGGTGCGGGAGGGGGTGGCGGGCCGGGGGGCGGCGCGGTGGCCAGGGCCGGAGGCATGTTCTGCTACCACTGCCCCCCGGGCCTCCCGGCGCCGCGATTACCGCCGTCCCTGGAGTATCCTTTCGCCCCGACGCACCCCTGTAAGTAAAAATTCGATTCCTCCTCCTGCGACCGCGGGGGCCGATATTTTTACTCCGACCCCTCCTTCGTCGTTCCTCCGTCGCCCTTCGGATCGCATGTTTCCGCGATTGATACGCTCCGTAAAGGAATAAGGAAGGAAAATCGCTCGCGATTCGCCTTGCGAAACGTCACGCGGGATTTCCGGAATCAGACGCCGATTCTCGAGGGGTGGGTTAAGTTTCGCGGTTTCTTTCAGAATCTCGCTGTCCGGCGGAGAAATTCCGACTTACGGGATTAAAATTGCACGACGGCGCTCGGCCGGTGGATCGGAAGGGAATCGCGTGAGACTTCGGAAACTTGAATAGAGGAACGGGCGACACGTGAAACTACAAAGTGAGAACACGCATATGCGCGCGTACATCGCGCATAAATCGAATCGCCCGCGAAATCTTCATTCTCTCAATCCGCGCGAGCTTAACTTTTTCAATCTCAAACCAACGTCCCGCGTCTCTCCCGTCCCTGGAACGGTCGACGATGTTACACTCGAAGAAATGACTTAGTAATGGCAGCTAAATCTCATTAACTATTTTTTTTTTTTATTTAGTTCATTAGTTCGTATTTCGCTATCATTGCTGAAAGTTGGCAATTAAAGGTAAAATGTATTTGTGCTGCGAGGTACAACTTTTTATTAGCTGAAATTAGCAGCAAGAGTAGCTAAGGTTGGTTAGCTGTGCTTTTTCTCCGGTTGCACCATGTATAGACAATGCGAAAAGCGTTTATATCGATCGACGGAATGTACTACTTAAGGTGATTCACTTACGATCCAAAGGTCTCGGGTTTGAGTCAATTAGTGTTCAAGCATGTTTTTCAGATACGATAGCATTAAATCAAGTAAATGGGGAAGAGGAACGGCCAAATTTCAGACAATTTATATTCGCCATATGGTACTTTAGGAAAGTTGTAAGATTCAGTGGCACATCAAGGGGGCTACTCATCAATTTAATATTTATCGAGCAAAATTATGTCCCTATATATTTATTTCACTAGCTAAATAATAAATGTTAATTTGTTGAGGTCGAAATTGTTGAAATTGGAGCCAAACATATACGTACAATATCATAAATGCACGAAAATATTATTTCTTTATTTTTCTTATTAATGTTGTATTTTTGATTCATGCATCAGTTGATCTTATGAAGATACACAGGTAATAGAAAAAGGTGTATAAATGTTTAAATATGTGAATACATGTATGTATTTCGAGTATTATCATAAGTTATGAAATTTATATCGCATTTGCATCAATATATTTCTATCTCAGAAATGTGAGTATAATTTTAATACGATCCAGGTAATATTTCTCACTGTAGCGCCTAAATTCAAACAGCCAATAAATCAGCTGCGATCAGAAACGACATCAGCCGTTCCTTCAAAGACTACAGATTTTAACTGCCACTGCAGGATTTTAGCTCCTGCAGCAATCAATTCTTTCTCCAAGCGTGACCTCTCTCTCTCTCTCTCTCTCCCCCTCTCTCTCGGGCTCAGAGTCGCGCACTTCTCGTGATAATTTCCGCAACAATGAACGTAAGAATGAGCGAGCTGGAGAAAAGAAATGGCACGGCTGAAAAATAAACGACGATGGCGAACAGCGGGCGGGCGGGCGCGCGCGAGCGATCGAGAGAAAGAGCGAGAGACGTGTCGGGCGCGAGTATTAGATAGGAGGAGGGAAAGGCGGGAGGAGAGTGAGGAAGGCAGACTGATTGTGCCGGCACTTGCTCTAGCGGAACACATCGATGAAGTTACATTACCGACTAGACCGAGTTACGCAAAGTGGACGCTACAAACTGGACGGCCGCTAAACTTAATTTGCACTTCGAGCCAACTTCCAGTTAAACCGCGTCCCGCCGGCAGTGCCGGAGTCGCGCTGGCCAGAACTTTGAGCCGGCAGTTTGCCTATTCACCGATCGTTTTCCAAGTCGCATCCCATTGCCGCGGACGAATTTCGCTCGTATATAACGCGATAGCCGTCAGACCGCGGGACTCAATCGCCGCGCACCGCGCGCGAGTTGCCGCGCACCGGCGCGCTTAATCGCGGAAACGACGCGAGATTCATCGTTAACAGCGACGCCCGCGCGCACGACGCCGACCGCGAATCGTTTCCAGCGAGCTCGGCTTGAAAAAGGGGGTAGAAGGATATACGGGGTGAGCGAAGTGGCGTTTCCGATTTCGTTTTCGACGAATCGGGAGCAACGCACGCGAGAAATTTTCCTCGCGCCGCTCCATTCAATCAATACCAAACCAGTATCGATTAGTTTCTCAGTAAATGGTTTCTCGATCGTCCTGCAGTATTGATCACTTCAATTTCTCAACTCCTTTTTAATTTCTTTAGCAAACCTGGGGATATTACGGAGATCCCGTCATCCAACGCGATGATCGCCGTGTTCGTTTCCGTTGGTTCTACAAAAGTTTAACTAACGATCGAAGTATCAAAGATACGGTAAATAAATGTAATTCGAAATATATATACAAATATTTAATTTTTATTTTGCTTTATTGGTTCCTCGTTACACCTACGTTTTTCAAATATATATGTTTAATTATACTTTAATATTATATTAAAATATTAATATAAATAAAATATAAGTAATACACTTATCATACATACACCATTCATGGAAATCTTTCAGAACACTTAAGGACCACCCTGTACAAGATTCCTTTATTCAACATTCGAATTATATAATTTAAATTATAATCCCTCCAACTCTCAAAATTATTTATGCATATTTATCTATCTTATTTTCAAATTATTTATCTTATTTATTTATTTATTTATTTGACGGGATTAATTTATTAATTAATTTAACGGAATTAGTAACCTTTCGGTATACGAGTGAATAAACGATTTCTGTTTACAAAAAATGATCACGAGAAGTATATTGTAATCTAATCTATAATTATGTACTTTAATGAGACGCGTAATATCATAGTACCGCTCACGCACGACCGATTCGACGGCGCTCAACTTGTTAATTACTACGTATATGATCACCGGCACCGATCAACCCCGAAGATTTGCGGGAGGCCGCACAAGTCGGACGAGAATCGGCGAAAACCGGCCGTGCTTTCCGCATGATCCGCGACCCGAATCCAAGAACGTGGGAAGCGCGAGGAGTCGCGCGCGCTGTTCTCTTTATTCTCTTTAAAATACAACGCCCATTGAGGCTCATAAATGTGGGAGGCAGTCCGGTCTCTCCGGTAGATGATCGAACGGGGCGTCGTGGAGGCTGCGGGGGCCGGAGGCGGCTCGGAGAACGGGTGTCCTCAGGGACGTCCGGGCACCCTTCCAGCTCCCGATTGCCCCCGCGTCCTCCCCGTCACCACCGTTGACTCCCCCCGGCCCCGGATCGTAGCTATGGGCCCTCCCCTCGCCCCCCCTCCCGTTGGGATAAACAGATTAGGTAACTACGTGATAAGTCGGTAAGTGGGTTCACTCGGCCCACGGTCCGGACCCACCGACATTCGCTCTAACATCTAACTACCTCGTTAGTGTCATTAGTAACGGTCGGGGTGTCATTAGATTTCGTTCTACGTGTAGTTTTTCCACGGGTACCGTGCCCCCCCC